CTATTTTATATTAATTAATTTGTCTAAAAACATAATCAGAATGTTTGTTCCTTGATTATTCCGTTTCAATTTAATGATTTTAATGTAATGAATATGAGCTTGAACATCAACATAAGTGGGTTTTTAGCCTTGTTTTTAGAAAAACACGAGGCTCAACTTTAAGTACACAGTGCAACTCACTGTGGCGTGCAGCTACTGGGACAGGAATGGGAACACTTCAGGACGTCCCTGAGAATCTCCAAAGATTTCTTCAGGACCAAAGTAATTCACTCGTACTTGTCAAACATCCAATGGTGCAAAGCAAAAATAAATTATTAATTCATTCGGTGAACTCTATGTTCTAATGTTTGGTTATTTTCTGTCATTATTTAAATAGCACACCATGCTGGGCTCATTTGGGGTAAATCTCGGCATTAAAACACGGTATTGATGAGCACAAACTTTGGTAGCCTTATTGTGTTGTGGGCGGAACATTACACTTACATTCATCTCTTCCTGTAGCTCAGTGTTTTCAATTGGGCTATTTAAACATATGTTGACTGTATTGTCACAGTTAGATTGTCAAAGTTTGAAAGTGTTCCTTTAATGGTACCCACATTGATATCTGTTGGATTGTTTGTGTGGAACTCAAAATTATGGAAATGCAGGCTGTTTTCAGCAGCACTACTATCAAAAATCCATAATATTGTGTGCAAAGTTCCATCAAAACACCAACATCACAGTATAAACTATTGCATTATCTGTTCACCATGTAATATCACTTCACATTCGGTGCACAGCAGGAAGCGCTGTCTTTCAGTTCAATTCAGTTTTTTTTTTTAGCACCAATTCCTTCATCACCTGTAAACAAACTATTGTACCTTGTACTCATTTTGTGTCCATTTTCCACACTTCCCTCTCAATAATGATTCTGTCTAACAGCAGCTAATGGCTGCCGACACCAACTGGGCTCATGTTCCTTTTTCAGGACTCAGTTGGTCCCATATCACTTGCCGGGGAGCAGGCAGACTTCATTTCATGCCCTAGTTGTGACTTGTGTTTTGGGAGAAACTGGGTTAAATTAACATACTTTTAGATTTATGGCTGTACCAACACTTCAAAGACCAAGACCCAGAGAATTATATTATTGATAGGATGGAACGCCTGCAGCATTGTGACCAGTGGGACAACATAATCACAGAACATTTCACATGATTTGTGTGAAATGTAATCAGAATGTTGCGTTAGAATCAATGCAGGGCTTAATCAAGTCGAATATTTTACCCTTGTGGTGGGGGCCAAGTCCTAAATGTGACAGCCACCCGCTGCTAAATGAGGTTACTGCATTCATTGAAGATACTGGGAAGCCGTGAGTGCGGGTGGGTTGGGGGCTTGTTTTATAATAGTGGTGGGGTCCAAAAACCAGTATTCCACTGTACTTGCTGGATCCCACAAGTTTAAATGACTATTTGAAGGTAGTATTGGTTTCAGGGTTAGGGGTAGAATTAGGTTAGGTTATGGTTAGACATGTGGTCGTGATAGTTAAGGTTAGGGGAAGGTGCTAAGGAATGCATTATGTCAATGAGATGTGCCCACAGGGATAGAGGAGCATCTGTGTGTATGTGTGTGTGTGTACACTTGGGGCAAAGGAGTTTGGGGTGATTATAAAACACACCCCAGCCTGAACTATTGGTCTGTTTCCATGGTGAAGTCGAGAGTGCTCTCGAGAAGCGGTCATGGCAGTGATGATGGCCCTTTTTTCCCCCGTGGCTTATTTCCATGGCAATGGGTGAATGAGTTTTGGTTAACAGAGGGGGTATTAGAGTGTTAGGAGGGTAATTGATGCACACAAGTCGTGTTCTTTACTCTATTTCAACATGTAACGATGAGACGCATGTCATTCCTGTCAGACCCTAAAGTAATAATCGTAGGCTTTATTCCTCAAGCACCTTTTACAGTAATTTACAAAGTAATTTGTCTATCAAAATAAAAGCCAACCTCCTAAGCGTCACAGGACGGATAACAGGCAAAAATCAGTAGTTTTAAATATTAGGAAGGAAGATAATAATAATACTGTTTGAAAATGAGTTTTAATAAGTGGTTGAAGGATGTGGAGTGGTCTTCTGGCCTTCTCTCAGTAAATGTGTTTTTCGTTGTACCACTGTCTGACTAAAGGAGCTCAGTCTTGTTCACACTTTAAGGGGCTAAATTATGGATGTTTCATCACTGTGGTTATATAAATGACCTCTGCTTCTTGCTCACTTCCACACACACAATTCACATTCTCTTCAGTTCCACACACTCCCTCTCCTCCCCTGCATCTCCATCACTCTGTTTCCCTTTCTCTTGCTTCTTGTCTCTCAGATGACTTTTTTGACATTGTGCACTGGGAGTTTCTTCTTTAGCACCATGGGAACAGCTCTCTCTTGGACAACACATGTTTTCCATGATACTGATGCTAAACAACTTTAAGATCAGCCATATTTTTAATTTAGTGATGACATGAAATCTTCTTGTGAAGTAACAATAAAATAATGTTATCACTTTACCCATTAGTAACAAAACAGTCACCATCTGAGCCGTCTTTACAGATACAGTGTCTAAGAAGTGAGATTCCTGTCGAATTCGTTATAGTTAGCTCAATTAGCTGCGCAGGTAAACATTACATTACATCAGTAGTCGCCAGCCATGAATTTGACCAGTCCAGGGTTTTTCGTGACTTTTAACATATGGCTTTTTCTCAGCAGACAGTTTGACCTGAAAACACAAATGTTAAACTGATAACAATAATGAGGGCTCCGTCACATAGAGAAGAAGCAGTAAGCCATGCCAGAGATGATACCATGATACAATACCAGAGAACTTGAAAAGGTGTATTCATTTCAATCAAAAAAATAGAAATATATTTTTTGAAGCATCTAAAAAAATATCCGCATCCTTTGTGACAGAATGTAGCTCTTAGAGTGGGAACTGGTTAATTCTACTACACTTAAATTAAAACACCCAAAACTAAACCAGCTCTGTAACACAATGTCAAATGTATTTGCAATTATACGCAATTACTTTGTAAGTATTTTCCCAGGGCAAAAGGAGAAGCATAAATGAAATAATTTTCAGGGCAAAGCTAACTACTGAAGAAGTGCAGTCATTATAATTTCTTGAGGAGTTCCAATTAACAAGCATGGTAATGTAAATTGAGCTGTGTGGGGGTTTGGAAATGTGTGTGAATGCATAATCTTATAAATACCCTTGCACATGTACATAAAGGTCATGTTGAATAATTCTTGTTAGTGACAGAGCCTTCACTTTACTGTTTCTGCTAATCTTAATCTTCCTCTGTTCACAAATTCTTAT